AACGTAGAGGAAAGCTGATGAATGTTCTCTCTTTGTTTTAACATTGAGGAGCACTGCAGACAAATTTCTGAGCAGTTATCTCTGGTTGAAAAAAGGTCTGAGATTTGTGTGTGTGTTGTTTGTGTGTTGTAGAGAATGAGTTAATTGGCACTATTTCATGCAGTTTTGCTGCCATACTATGTTTATCTGCAAAGAAAAAAATAGGCAATAAGTCTTTCCATTTGGTTTTTCCTGTAATCAGTTGGATCAATTTTGTACAGAAAACATTCGGTGCACAGTTACTTTACACTAAGCAGAACAGCTCTCTGATGTAAACAAATTTGCAGGAAGCTTTGGAAAAGGAAATGTGGATGATAAAAAAAGAGTTGATGATAAAAGATCACGAGTTCTGCTTACGGAGGCCTGGTCTACATTATCAATATATATCAGATTTATAGGTGGCACTGTGGGTTAAACCACAGAGCCTAGGACTTGCCGATCAGAAGGTCGGTGATTCGAATCCCCACAACGGGGTGAGCTCCCGTTGCTTGGTCCCTGCTCCTGCCAACCTAGCAGTTCGAAAGCATGTCAAAGTACAAGTAGGTAAATAGGTACTGCTCCGGCGGGAAGGTAAATGGCATTTCCGTGTGCTGCTCTGGTTCACCAGAAGCGGCTTAGTCATGCTGGCCACAAGACCCGGAAGCTGTACGCCGGCTCCCTCGGCCAATAAAGCGAGATGAGCACCGCAACCCCAGAGTCGGCCACGACTGGACCTAATGGCCAGGGGTCCCTTTACCTTTACCTCTTGTGGCTTTCCCTAAAGCATGGGTGGGGAACCTTTTCCCACTCAGGGTCCACATTACATCACAGGCAACCTTTTGGAGGCCTCACACCAGTAGTGGATGGGGCCATAGGCAAATGTGCGTATGCTGTAACCTGAATGATCTCCATTCTGTCCAGCAATGCAGGCTTTACCCTTTGGAATTTTGCTGAACTTGAACTTTCTAGCCTAGACAGCTGTTCCTCTTTGAATGGTGGGGTACATTCCAGCCATGCAAAAATTAGATGTTTCTATCTATGTACTCATCTTTCCATCCAGGCAATGCAAAAGGCAGTATCGCTGTTCATTGATACATCCCAACCAGGCAAATGTTCTCAAGGAGGGCAGAGAGCTTGGTAAGGAAAGGGCATGGTCTGGAGAAAAAGAGGTGCAGTGAGTCTTGAGGGACAGAGAGAGGGGCTTGAGGTTCTCCATCCCTGCCCCAAAGGATCCTGGGAACTGTAGTTCATAAGGTACTAAGAATTCTTCCTTCGAGGTTCATAGCCTCCACAAATGATGATTCCCAGGATTCCCTGGGAAAGGGAATAGTTCTTAAACTTAGTTTAAATCTTTAGCTTGGATATGCCAAGAAGAAGAAGAAGAAGAAGAAGAAGAAGAAGAAGAAGAAGAAGAAGAAGAAGAAGAAAGCCCAGGAAGTGAGTTGTGCTGAAGAATCACCTGAAACATGAATTTTTAATATGGAAAGCAATTCAGAACAAGAAGAAAAAGTGTGAAGAGGCAGTTTTGCTATAAGGACACAGAGAAACCACAGATTGTCAAGGTTTCCCAGCAGGTATCCACACAGAAAAATAGATGTGTTTGTAATTATCACATTTACAGTCGGCATGGCTGATGTTTTAATTCCCTGCATGGAAGTGCTTTCTGTGGAGGGAATTCATAATATCTGAAGCAGCATTAAATCTCATTTAAATCCACGAGACTTAAATTTTGACTACTGGCAAGATTAGCTCAACTCATGTTGCTTCTTGAGACAGAGGACAAGATGGCGCCCAACTCATACCCCCCAGAGAAGCCAACCAGGTTGACTTTGGAGTCTTATTTTCAGCGCTGGTGATGAGACATTGTCCTCCATCTTACCTGAGGGCAGAAGGCTAGAATAGGGGGTGCAAGGCAGGCCATGAGGTGCATGCACTCTGCCCCCCCAACACCATGCTGTTATTTCCTGATACCTAACACCTGCCACCTGAGGTAGCTTCTTCACTCTGCCTAATAGTAGGGGCAGCTCTGTTGACTGGTGAACTTAACACTCTATGGGGGAAGACCCATAAAACTATAGATCTATACGCAGATTCTAGTCATTCTGTGATGAGTTTTCTCGCATCAGAAAACATCCCCTTGCTTTTCCTTATTAAGCTTCTCCTCATCCCATAAACATTGTTCCCCCCCCCAACCACACCTTGGAAGCTTTGTACCATACCCTCCAACATTTCTCCGATGAAAATAGGGACGTCCCGTTACATAATGATAATTTTACTATTTATACCCCACACATCTTGCTGGGTTGCCCAACCATTCTGGGCAACTTCCAACACACACACACACACACACACACACACACACCATAATAAAACATTAAACTTTTTTAAAAACTTCCTGTCAGATGCTGTATGGTGGTTGCTCATGAGTAACCAGGCAGGACTCCAACCTGTCTTTTACAGGCTTTATTGTGCAAACTATTTACAATGCAGATACGCAAAGTTCATGTCCGTCTTAGTCACTTGCAGATTCCGGGAGTGGCCCCTTCTGGCTTCTCCCCCAACATAAGAACTTCGGCACCCCAAGCCTCCCCTTCCCCTCCTTGCGTTTCACCCCTCTGCACAATGTGGGCGACAGAAGTGGCGGAAGTGGCGTGCGTCCCTCCTGGCTAGGTGAGGCACTGGGGCTCTCCGCAGCATCCTCAAGCCCTTTCCTCGCTTGGCTGGCCCCTTCCCTCTTTTCTCCACTGGAGGTGTGGTTTTCCCCACACCGCTGGAAGAGGAACTGTTCCTCAGGATTTTTGGAAGCTTTCTGTATCCCAACGGCCCCCCTGCCTCCCTCTCCTGTTCCGATGGCAGTCCCCTGACATTTCCCTATACAGGGCTGCCTTTAGATGACTCAGGTAACTCCATACCCTCCAACATTTCTCCAATGAAAATAGGGATGTCCTAAGGAGAAGTGAGGGACGCGGGTGGCGCTGTGGGTAAAAGCCTCAGCGCCTAGGACTTGCCGATCGCATGGTCGGCGGTTCGAATCCCCGCAGCAGGTTGCGCTCCCATTGCTCGGTCCCAGCGCCTGCCAACCTAGCAGTTCGAAAGCACCCTCGGGTGCAAGTAGATAAATAGGGACCGCTTACCAGCGGGAAGGTAAACGGCGTTCCGTGTGCTGCGCTGGCTCGCCAGATGCAGCTTGTCACGCTGGCCATGTGACCCGGAAGTGTCTGCGGACAGCGCTGGCTCCCGGCCTATAGAGTGAGATGAGCGCACAACCCTAGAGTCTGGCAAGACTGGCCCGTATGGGCAGGGGTACCTTTACCTTTACCTAAGGAGAAGTGGGACATTCCGGGATCAAATCAGAAACTGGGATGGCTTTCTCTAAATTAGGGACACCCCTGGAAAATAGGGACACTTGGAGGGTCTGTTATACATCCAAAATATCCGTGTCAGCGAGCTCCTCCCCAACTTAAAATCCAAAACACCTGGAGAAAAATAGATGGTGAAAATACAGGAGAAGGTGTGCAAATATTCTTATTTCACCTACAGACCAATCCATACCCCTGATCTGCCTTGCTACAGAGGGTCGGGTTGCGGGTGAAGATGTCCCTCCACTGGCCTTCGCCATCAATGGAGCTCTTCATGATTGCTGACAGCCACCATTTTTTCGATTGTTCACCACTTACCTATATACTAGGAAGTAGGCCGTTGAAATCAGAGACCTGCCACCCTCTCCGTAATTTTCTTTTAGGGTAGCCTCAGAGTATTGCATCTTGCCTGCAATGCCTGTGCATTTCTGGAGTGTTTTTAACCTGTTCGCTGTGCTCTCAGTACAGTACATTTTCGGCCTGCATCCAACTCAATTATGGGCAGTATACAGAATGAATTTAATTAGATTTGCCATAGCCGAAAGGAAGTCTGTGTAATGTAGAGTCAGGGGAGGCTGCCCATTGCTGTTGTTAAGATTTTGCAAAGAAAACCAGAGAAAGTTGATGGCTGATGCATTTTGCATTTTGATGATGTATTTTGATGCAAAACCAAGGGCCAAATTGGATGTGAAAATAAATGCCCCTCAATCTAATGAGCAGGGTATTTTTTTATTCTTATTTTAAAAAGGAAATTGTATCAGTTGGAGCTAATGATATCAATGAGATTGAGCAGGCATGGGAGGGGGGTGCGAAGACCCACCCTTCATAGCTGTCAACTTTTCCCTTTTCTTGCGAGGAATCCTATTCGGAATAAGGGAATTTCCCTTAAAAAAAGAGAAACGTTGACAGCTATGCCACCCTTTTCTCTGCTGCAGTCCTGAGGAAAACAAGTCTTTGCTTTGGGGAAACCTTCTGTTAGCATTGCCTTTTGTTATGGGGTCCCAAGTATGCAAATCATATTAGTTGTTCTACATTGCAAGTTTTTTCCAGATTGCAAGCTGATAGCAGAAAGCTGGGAATCAATATGTACATTGATGGTGCTATATAAGTAATAAAGGTAAAGGTAAAGGTACCCCTGACCATTAGGTCCAGTCGTGGCCGACTCTGGGGTTGTGGCGCTCATCTCGCTTTATTGGCTGAGGGAGCCGGCGTACAGCTTCTGGGTCATGTGGCCACAATGACTAAGCCACTTCTGGAGAACCAGAGTAGCGCATGGAAACGCCGTTTACCTTCCCGCTAGAGCGGTACCTATTTATCTACTTGCACTTTTTTGGCGTGCTTTCGAACTGCTAGGTTGGCAGGAGCTGGGACCGAGCAACGGGAGCTCATCCCGTTGTGGGGATTTGAACCGCTGACCTTCTGAATGGCAAGCCCTAGGCTCTGTGGTTAAACCCACAGCGCCACCCGCATCCCATATAAGTAATAGTGCATAGCAATATGTAGAAGAATTGTGTGTGTGGTTTTTTGGGGGGGTGGAAGAGGGGGAGGAGAGCTTTTAATCTCAGCAATCGTCAGGTGGAAGAGCTTAAATCAACCTCTCTTGGTTTCTCAAATGTTTGGCAGGTGTGAAACTGGGGATTCCAGCCCTCCCTGCATTGCCTTTTCTCTGAGCTCCAGATGAAGCGGAGACTTTGCAGACAAGAGCACCTAAGGAGGGAGAGCGGCAGCAGGAGGAGTTGGCGTTCAGCTGCAGAGCTTCAAGTCTTCCCATCCATAGGTGGCCAAGCACCAGCATTTTAAAGGTCTCCATCTCCCTTTCCTGCCTTTAGACACTAAGGTATGTCTCTTTTGCCGTAGGAATTTAGGTGGCGCTTGGCCGTGTGGTCTCTGCCTCGGCAGTGACGCCTCTTGCCTCCCTCTGCTTCTTAATTCCAAGCACTTAATTCTTGGCTTGCTCATATTCTGCTTCTGCTGCCCTTCTCTTCCATGTGCCAGCTTGTTCCTCCCACTCTCCAAGCCAGCCCTTAGCACTGTGTGCTTTCAATATGTTCCCACGCCCTGTCCTACACCCAGCGGTTTCATGGTAACAAAGATGGTTGCATTTCTAAACAGTAGGTTGAGGCTAGAGAAGGATACAGGCTGGCTGAGTGGCAGGTTCAGTACATACTTCCCCTGCAGAAGATCTCAGGTTCAGTCTCCAGCCTCTGCAGGTAAAGTTGAAAAAGTCCTCTGCCCATAGCTGTCAACTTACAGATTTGAAAATAAGGGACCCGCAGCCTCGAAAATAAGGGATCAGCAGCCAAAATAAGGGATTTTCCTAGCACAGGTATGTTCAACTTCTGAGCACCTCCAAGCAAAAGGCAGAAAGCCCAGCCAGGAGCCAAACGAAGCCTCAAGCGGTGGTTCCCACAGCGCAGCAACCCAGCAAAGGGGATGCAGCAAGGAAAACCACCGTCACCTCTCCGCTGGGAAGCGCTGAGCAAAGGCGAGTCCCCAGGCAATGCGGCTGATTTGATCGGCACAAGGCATGCAAGCTCCACCCCCCAGTCGTTCTTTGAGCAATGCAGCCAAGCAACACAGTTGGAGCCTCCCTCCTCCCTGGCCGGCAGGGAGGGAGGGAGAGGAGCTGCTTCCTTCGAAACCCAGGAAATTTAAGGGACATCATCAATAAGGGACAGCAGTGGGACACAGCACTGGGATAAGGGATGGTTGACAGCTATGCCTCTGCTCCCAAACCTGGAGAACTTCTGCCTGTCAGTGTAGATAGCACTGTGCTAGTTGAACCTGTGGCACAGCTTTTTATATTATTAGTGTCTTTCTGCTTTCAAGCATATGAAGCTCAAATGGCCTGTTCCAATAACAACAGAAATAATTCAAGAAGTAGCTTTATCTAGCTTGGGTAAAGCAAAATTCATTTTAGTTCTTGCAAAGAACTCCAGTCATTTAGGGTGCTGAGCGCTGCAAGGAACTGGGAGTACAAGGTAGTTGCAAACAAAGCAGTTTCCACCCCCTGATCCTAGCCAGAATTCCTGACCAGCTTGATTTATTCCAGCTTGTTCAATCAATCAATATTTCCTTAATGCACAGAAAGAAAATTGCCTAACAGGCTGCTCCATCCCAGGCTTTGTACTCAACTTGCAAGGCAGAGCCTGCCCAGGGAAAAAGAATTAAAGAGGTGGAGATTGACTGTATACAGATATGGAAGCTGAGACTTGTATTGGCCTCTTAGCATCAAGCTTTCAGCAGTTTCCAAGGTTCTTGGTGCACAGGGACACAGCAAAGCCAGCCAGCTGTTGACCTGAGGACCAGACTGGATGCAGGACTTGGAGACCAACACCTGCTGAGGCCCATCTTATGGAGAATGGTCCATTTGCAGTCCCTGGAGCCCCTCAGGCTGCCCATCTCCTTTCTTACCTGACTTCCCTGAGCATATAACCAGTATTAAGAGGAAATTACTGGTGCAGCCACCTGTACCCAGCTTGCCATGTTGTTCAGGGTGGATTGGGCCACTCACAAAAAAACGTATTTGAAGGGGCCGGTGCTGCCAGGCGTGATAAGGTGAGCTCACTCAGTGAGGGGGTCCAAGGAGGGCATCTTGCCCCAACCCCCTGCTCCCAAGAACTGGCGTCACATATAAAGCTAGGAAGGGGAGATCTTGTAGCATTGAAAGGAAAATGTGCAGAACTTTATCCCCCTCCCATGTCTGTTGCACCAGTCACTTTTCTCAATGCCTGGCTCCAGTCTCCTGCACATTCTTCTTTTTGCTGCTTAAAGACCTGCCCATCCCCTTTTCTGGCTCCACTGCTTTGTGTGGAAATTATTATTATTATTATTATTATTATTATTATTATTATTATTATTATTCATTTATACCCCGCCCATCTGGCTGGGCTTCCCCAGCCACTCTGGGCAGCTTCCAACAGAATATTAAAATACAATAGTCTATTAAACATTAAAAGCTTCCCTAAACAGGGCTGCCTTCAGATGTCTTCTAAAAGTCTGGTAGTTGTTCTTCTCTTTGACATCTGGTGGGAGGGCGTTCCACAGGGCGGGTGCCACTACCGAGAAGGCCTAGTTCCCTCTGCCTAGTTCCCTCTAACTTGGCTTCTCGCAGCGAGGGAACCGCCAGAAGGCCCTCAGAGCTGGACCTCAGTGTCCGGGCAGAACGACACTGGAAGTGTTTATCCAGCATGGAAACCACCTCCAACCATTTCATAACTGGGAGTGGCAGTGAGTCTCTCCAGATCGATGTTACTGGTTTTGTGGGGGTTTTTTTGGGAGGTGCGTTCTATGATATGCTATTGGCATGATAATAGTGATGGATCTAGACTGTCTGCACATCATTCCAAGTTATTAGTTGTTCTGCGATGCTTCCCTAAGGTTAAGGCATTACTGCCATATGAAAATTTGCAGGGTTTCAGCAGAGAGTTAGGGGACGTGCAGCAAGTGGAAGTGAAGCAGTGTGTGTCTACCCTGAAACTTAAGCGATATTGAAAGCAGGATCATTAGTTAAGGCTAAAACAACAAAACAATAGCCCCCCTCCCACAAACACATTTAAAAGGCCTTTAGAATATTAATTGGCCAAAGGCCTGGTTGAAGAGAACATGCACCAATTAGAAGTGTGTTTCTACCCTGAAAGCATCCTGCAATACTGAAAACGGAATCACGTATAACTGCCCCAATACCACCTTGAGCAAAGATTGCAATGAATTCTTAATAAAAAGGACACAAGGAAGAACTCTGTGTTGGGGAGCAATTGTTTGGGAGGGGGCTTCCCATGGTAACTGACTTTCCTTTTTAAATGCAGTTTTATTTTTTAATTCCCCACCACCACCACCACCACAGTTTAAAGCTACTGGTGGCCACAGTGCTGCTGCTGTGCCCTTGAAATTGCTGGCAGACTCAGTGGCTTTTAAACTAGAAAAGGAAAAGGAAGGAAGCCTTGCCTCCCCAAGCACGAATCAGTGTGTCAAACAGTCTGGGTTCCTTTTGCCCTAATTCTTGCTTTGCCTAAAATGCTTAGAATGAGGTGGCTGCATAAGTGAGGCTCCATTCATGTCTATATTTTCCTTATAATTTGCTTAGGATTCTTTCGATTGCAATTGGCACATAAGTAGACAGGTGAAAGCCCGACCCATAATCTCTTATTAATTCTTATTAATCGTTTGCATCAGCAGGGCTTCTGTGTTGCAGTTGCAGGCACCAAAGTCATACTTTCCTGAGCATGTAATAGTACCCTTTGGGTCTGCCTTTTCTCCTGCCTGCTGTCCTCCATCCCCCCCCCCCACTTCTCAGATGATTCCTTGGAATGTTGGAACAGTGATGGGAACAGCCTCAGGGGGAGAGCTTGCAGCAGGAGCTGCCATTAGCCACAAGTGGAAGCCATAATTTTTTACATTAATGCATGGCTCATTTGGGACGGAAGTATCAGGGAGACGCTAGCTAACCTGTAGCAGGGTAAAGGTAAAAAGGTAAAGGGACCCCTGACCATTAGGTCCCAGTCATGGCCGATTCTGGGGTTGCGGCGCTCATCTCGCTTTATTGGCCGAGGGAGCCGGCATACAGCTTCCGAGTCATGTGGCCAGCATGACTAAGCCGCTTCTGGCAAACCAGAGCAGCGCACGGAAACACTGTTTACCTTCCCGCCGGAGCGGTACCTATTTATCTATTTGCGCTTTGACATGCTTTCGAACTGCTAGGTTGGCAGGAGCAGGGACCGAGCAACGGGAGCTCACCCCGTCGGGATTCGAACCGCCGACCTTCTGATCGGCAAGTCCTAGGCTCTGTGGTTTAACCCACAGCGCCACCGTGCTTGCAGGTATTTCAGGCAAACTCTGAAGGAGGCCACTCAGAGGGGCTTCTCTTCCAGCCTAACTCATATGTTTGCTTGCTTTCTTGTTTTACGACTTGTGCATACTGCGTGATTCTAATAAAACCTCAAAGAAGGCCAGAAAAATAATAAAACAATCAAATTATCAGCAAAGCAACAGTTAGAAACAAGTATTCCAAAATAAAATAAAATAAAATAAAATTGTCAGTAAGCTAAAACCAGATTAAAACCTATGGCAACTTGTTTGAATAGACTTGCCAAAAGGAAAAAATAATGTTTTTAGCAGGTGCTGAAAAAGAGCACCCGTCTGATATCAATAGGCGGAGAGTTCCGAAGTGTGGCTGCTGCTGCAGTAAATGATTGATATGTTGCAAGGGCTAATGGGTATTATGTGGCACATATAACAGTGCCAGTTCTGTAGATCAAAGTGGTCAAGTTTGCACATACAGTCGTACCTCGGAAGTCGAAGGGAATTTATTCCAGAAGTCCGCTCGACTTCCAAAACGTTCGGAAACCAAGGCATGGCTTCCAATTGGCTGCAGGAAGCTCTCCTTAACAAACTACAGTTCCCGGGGTGATTGGGGGATGACAACCCATGGCTGTCTAAGTGCTATAAGAATGCTTTAGACGTGTAGTGTGAATGTTGCCAGAAGCTCTATGTCTGGCATTAGGCAATGAGGCCAAAATCAAAGGACCAGAAGGGGGGGACCCAAAGGAGGATTCACAATGGCTGAGAATTTTTTCTCAAAAATAGGTCGCAGCTTTGCTGTGTAAGGTAGAAAGGCTGATGCAGAACTGAGATGAGGTATGGAAAGTTTGTGGAATTATCCGAAGCAAAATACAAATACAGTGGTACCTTGGGTTACAGACGCTTCAGGTTACAGACTCTGCTAACCCAGAAATAGTACCTCAGGTTAAGAACTTTGCTTCAGGATGAGAACAGAAATAGTGTGGCAGTGGTGCAGTGGCAGCTAGAGTCCCCATTAGCTAAAGTGGTACCCCAGTT